CCCCAAAACCCCAAAACCCCAAAACCCCAAAACCCCAAAACCCCTTACCTTCTTAAGAATTTTAATAATTCAAAAATATGAAGAATATGGACCAGAACAAGTACTTTGGGTAAGTGAGCAAGAAGGGATCTTAGATGTGAGGCTGAAGAGCAAATTGGGCGGGATTTGGCGATGACTCAGGGGAATTTTGGAGTGGGCCTGAGGGAGTTGGAAGTAGTGGGGCTGGGCAGGAGAATTTGGAGGGAGGTTAGATGTAGTTGTTGTGATGAGAAGCTGGGTTATAGCTGAGATTTTGAGAATTTAGATGGGGTTATTTGAAAATGGATGCATAGATTTTAAAGTTTTAACATTTTTCTGTGCTAAAAATCTCATTTAGCTTTTAAACATCCTTAAAATAATATCCGTTAGTTTTTCATAATTCCTTAGGAATATAAGATACTAAAAATGCATATTCTTCTGAAATTATTTGTTAACAGATTATCTGGACCTTCTAGCACACGTGGAGTAGAGAACAGAGAAGCTAAATATTCTGAAAGAGCCCAAGCATTTTGAAACATTAAGAGGAAAGATCGGTACCTAAAATCTTAAACTCCAGGACTCAGAACTTAAAATCAATGGCGACTTTTGACAGAGCGGATAATTACAAAAGTTATTGAGATAAGTTATATCAGAATTCAGTTTATCAAGCACAAGAAAGGTGTGAATCAAAGTATTTTATACCTTTATTGTTAGGAAGCATATTAAAAAGTTATCCAAGAACCATCTCAGCACTTATAACGACGTAAATAACAGCTTTAACTTCATAGACTAAAGTTTCAGCAAGGACTCCTTCTACTGGCCAGTACACAAGTATTAGAGGTGGGAAGAAAAGGAATCCTCTAGCTTGTATCAAGCATTATAGCGAGAATGCTCCGGCTCAACCGAGATTGGTCAGTAAAGACCCCTCTGAAGTAGATGAACTTCGCTGAAGAATTGAAGTAATCCAACATAATAACTTTCTAGGAGCTACAATCTAGGCTAGTTGAGAAAGATGAAATAATTAATGATTCAAATAACAAACTTAAAATTCTTCAAAACAAAATTAGAGAATCTGAATCCATGAAGGATCTTAAGAAGAGAAATGAAGAACTAACTCTGAAGGTAACCCAGAATTTACCAACTTCTAGGTTGAAATCCTACAAAAAGAGAAGGAGAAATAAAAATGATAAGATCAAGATCCTGCAAGAAAAATTAAGAGTATATTTCCATCTAACATTAGGTGAGGAATAGAAGTGTTCAGAGAGCTGAAAGAAGCCAGCATATTAGTCCTAATGCTACTAACTCCCACCCTCTTGATCAGCTAAACCAGAACACGATGGACAATATCCCAGTGAGGAGTAATCAAGAAGAGGAGAAGAATGAACGGTCAGCCCAGAATACTTCAGAAGGGTATGTTTCCTCATAAATGATGTAGTGGAGTTCAAAGGCTGATCCAACAGACAATTGCACCGATAATAGAAAGAGGAGATGCCTTGTTTAACAATCTTATTGGAGTCCAAGAGAGAAGAATTATCAGGAATCAAGAAGTCAACCAGCACTTGACTAATCTTCCTGATTTGCAAAACTACCAAGAGCTATTAGGCATAGAAAGAAGTTTAATCCGTGGGACTCAAGGAGGCTATAGCAATGCCATGATCAGAGGTATCAAAGAAATCAAGTACATTGATGTACATTCCGATGAGTCCATTTGAGAAGCAGCCGATGAAGTTTGCAGCATCTGCCATTGTAACTACTCCAATACCGAAAACATTAAAGTGCTATCCTGCTCGCACTTCTATCACTCAGGCTGCATCGAGGAATGGCTGCGAAGGAATCGCAAATGTCCTTTGTGCAAAAAAGTGGCTATTCCTCACTAATCATTCAATTTTTTGAAAGCACAAAGGGGTTTTGGGGTTTTGGGGTTTTGGGGTTTTGGGG